CTTTTCTGAGGCCCTTTTAATTGATAAATTAGATTTTTATTTATTTTTTTATATTTGTAATAAAGTGATGTAAAAAAAAAAACTCTCGGATTTAAATTCAAAATGACTTTATTGGCATGACTGTAAAAATGAAATATTTCCAAAGCTTAAAAATAAGTAATAAAAATAAAATAACAAGGGCATTTCCAAAAAAGGTAAATGTGTAAAATCAAGAACTATAGTAACAGAATAATAGAAACAAAACATCAAAACAAATTAAAGTTAAATGAACAGTGCAACAAATAAGCACATGTAGTTGAAAGCAAAATTATGTGACATTTTTCAATTTTTTCTAATTTTTCCCAAATGATGTTGAACAGATTCAGGAATTTTTCACAGTATTTCCAATAATAATTTTTTTTCTGCTGTATAAAGTCTTATTTGTTTCATTTCGGCTAGAATGAAGGCAGTTTTTAATTATTTTAAAGCCATTATTATTATTATTATTTTAAAGCCTATATTATTAGCCTTCTTAATCAATATTTGTTTTGGATATCCTACATAACAAACCACTGTTATACAATGACTTGCCTAATTACCCTAACTTTACCCTAATGAACCTAATTAAGCCTTTAAATGTCACTTTAAGCTCAATACTAGTGTCTTGAAAAATATCTAGTCTAATATTATTTACTGTCATCATGTCAAAGAGAAAATAAATCAGTTATTAGAGATGAGTTATTAACAATATTACGTGTAGAAATGTTTTCCATTAAACAGAAATTGGGGAAAATATATATGGAGAGCTAATAATTCTGTACATTCTCGTCTGTAAGTACATAAACAGCAAGAGAAACTGTGCTGTAAATGTAAATACAGTATTTCTGCTGTACATGATTTACAGTAAGTCACTGTAGATTCTTCAGGAGGTTGTGAACAGTGTGTGTGTATATATACTGTATTCCTGATTTCTGATTTCACTCCATCCCTGCGGTCGACTCTCAAAACATTCGCATTACCACGCTCTCTCTCTCTCTCTCTCTCTCTCTCTCTCTCTCTCTCTCTCTCTGTCTCTCTCTCTCTCTCTCTCTGTCTCTCTCTCTCTCTCTCTATGAAAAGCTTCTCGGAAAGTCCCGAAAAATAAAAAAGCAAGAGTGAAAACAGAAAGAGAAGCAGGGCAGGTGATTTATTTAAAGTCTCGGGCAGTGATAACAATGTCACACACTGGTTCTGGGAGATGAGAGCGAGTCAAGGACGACACACCGGCGCAGGGATCTGACTAACACACACACAAGCACACACACACAGCTTATCTCAGGACAGAGCTATGCGCTGAGGTACCAGAGCAGACATGCCGGCACCAAACGCCAGAAAAAAGACAGAAACACTGAAGGAAAGTGCCCACAAGTTTGGAAAGAGCTCACAGGAAAGAGGGAGATGGAGAGAGAGAGATTCACATACAGTGAGATGTACAATCTGAAGTATTTTCCACATATTTCCAAGTGATTTTAATAAGTCATTTCTAATTTTCTCATTTCTATTCACCAGTGCAAGACACTAGTATTCATGTAAAGGCTTCACTAGGGTAATTAGGGTAAAGTTAGGGTAATTAGGCAAGTCATTGTATAACAGTGGGTTTGTTCTGGAGACAATCCAACACTAATAATGCTTTAGGAGACGAATAATATTGAGCTTAAAATGGCTTTAAAATATTAAGAACTGATTTAATTCTAGCCAAAATAAAGCAAATCAGACTTTCTCCAGAAGAAAAAATATTATCAGACATACTGTGAGCATTTCCTGATTCTGTTCAACATCATTTGGGAAACATTTGGAAAAGAAAACACTAATTTACAGGAGGGCGAATCATTTTGTCTTCAGCTGAACATCTGTACTTTAAAATACAGTAATGTCCATAACTATACTACAGTAACAGTACTGTGTAATATCCAAACATTTTCAACAGTGCATGTTTTATCTGATTGCTCGAACACAGCAGCTGTACATTATGGCATTGCAATCAAATTAGGAAAAGTTAAGATTATTAGTTTCAATAAATGGATTACTTTAAAGAAGTGAGCACAGCCTTTGACTTTCATAATTATGCACAGTTTGTTTGCTGAATAATTATAAGCAGCAAGTTTATTCCAATTTTTTGAGTAAAATCAACTAATGGTTCACCTCCTCAAACCTGCTTTATCAGCTTGAGACGAGACTGAAGTCTGGGTCAAAAACCTCCCCGTGTTCCCCAAAAACACTGATAACAGTGCTGATGGAGACGAGACGGAGAGGAAAGATGATTTCAGACTGTGGGAAAACAAAAAAATGCAGTGTTTGGAAATAGATCAAGAGAACTCCTGATTCTAGTATTAAAACATTTATTGAGAATGTAAAATAAATATATTATTATTATTTTATTGTTTAAAAAAATATAGAAATAGATAATGTGTTATAACAATACCTATTATTATTATTATTATTATTATTATTATTATTATTATTATTATTATTATTATTATTAATAATAATAATAATAATAATAACAATAATAATAATTATAAAAATAATGATAATGTTAATAAAAATGTAAAAAACTCAACATTCCTGAAAATGTAAAATTATTACTATTATTATTATTATTATTATTATTATTTTTGATAATGATGATGATACTAATAATCATAATAATATTTATAATAATAATACAATTTTTATTTTACAAATACAGAATATTTACATATTTTTTCTTCCCATATCAATTAATAATAATAATAATAATAATAATAATAATAATGATAATGATAATCATAATAATATAAAAATCTTCCTGAAAATGTAAAAATAAAATGATGATGATGATGATGATGATTATTATTATTGTTGTTATTATTATTATTATTATTATTGATGATGCTGATAATAATAATAATGATAATAATGATAATAATAATATAATAATATGATAACAATAATAAAATAAAATAATAATAATTATTATTATTATTATTATTGATTATGATGATGATGATGATGATGATGATGATGATGCTTATAATAATAATAATAATAATGATAATAATAATAATAATAAATTTTGTATACAAATATTATTTGTAGACATTTTTATATTAATTTTATGCAAAACAATACCAATGTTCAAAATTCAGAAGATAAATTAATCATTTGGTAAAATAATTCTCATATTTAATAATAACAAATAATTTTAAAAACATTAAAATTTTTAACCCACTGTGATTTTCTGGGAGGGAGGGGAGTTCAAATTAAAGCTATTGTTAAATTATTACAGCAAAAATTTAGACATTTGATTCCTTTAGAAAGTTCTAGAATAAACGTTTTCAAAAACCATTAAAATATTTCTTAAACCCATAACTAATAAATTCAATAAATTTTTATATACTTTATATACTTTTATATATAGACTTTATATATAAACTGAATTGTTAAAGCAGTAAATCGAGTGTGTTTGAGTTACATGCGACAGTGTATAAACAGTGATGTGCAAGTACAGGTGATAAAACCTCCATCATCTGCATTATTGATGTTGGATCTCAGGAAACCTCATATTCTCCAGAAACAGGTGAAAACACAAACACATGTTCTTTAAAGCAGCAGTGATTGGGTTTCTCTTGATGGCAGTGCTTTAATTAGAGATGCAGTGTTTGGTTTCTGTGACACCAGCAGCAGCGGATCAGTGCAGAACACACACACACACACACACACACACACACACACATACTTAGAGAAAGTGTGTGTGTGTTTGCTTGTTCAGGTGGACACAGGACATTCTTCAGCTGATCTCTGAGTTTGCTCTCTCTTGTTTCCCAGAGCGCTCGGCTGTGTGTGTGTGTGTGTGTGTGCATGTGTGTGTGTGTGTGTGAGCTAATAGACTCTCCTGTCTCTCTGTCTGCTCAGTAGATTGTAAAAATGAACTTGTGAGATATTAATAACTGAATGATATGAATGTAAAATAAGGCAAGGCCAGTTTTTTATAAAGTACAGAGAAAATTTAAAGGGCTTCACATCAACTGCAATAAAATAAACTTGACATATAGTAAGTATAATTAATCAAAAATATATATAATAATTAAAGAGAATTAAGATTGATGATATATTGTAAAGTGTGTTATATTTATATTTATGTATTTATGTGAAGGTGTTTTTGAAGAGTGATATATTTGTGAGGTTTTATATTATCTTTATCTATAAATTATTGGTTAAATATGTGATATTATTATAAATATATAGGTGTGTTAAATCTCTCTCTCTCATACATACACACACTCTCTCAAGTTAAAGTTGCATTATTGGCATGATATTTTGTACAGCATTGCCAAAGCATTTAAGATAATAATAAAATATATAATGTACACTCACCGGCCACTTTATTAGGTACACCTGTCTAATTGCTTGTTAACGCAAATTTCTAATCAGCCAATCACATGGCTGCAGCTCACTGCATTTAGGCATGTAGACATGGTGAGGATGATCTGCTGCAGTTCAAAGTGAGCATCAGAATGGGGAAGAAAGGGGATTTAAGGGACTTTGAGCGTGGCATGGTTGTTGGTTGTTGGACTGCTCTGAGTATTTCAGAAACTGCTGATCTACTGGTATTTTCATGCACAACCATCTCTAGGGTTTACAGAGAATGCTCCGACAGGGAGAAACTATCCAGTTCTGTGGGCGCAAATGCCTTGTTGATGCCAACTCATTACTTGTAAGATGTACCTAATAAAGTGGCCGGTGAGTGCATTAACATCAAATTCATAAAATATACTGTAAATGAGAAATTATTGACAGAAAAATAAGAAGAAAAACAGATAATACTCTAATAAGTATACTATGTAGAATAATAAAACACTGTTGATTATTTATATAAGCCAAATTAATTCAGATTAACCATTTCCTATGGTGTGAACACATATTTTGCAGCCAGTTTATATAGCAGTTTGTCCTGTCTGAGTATATAGTAAAGCTTATTTTCCTTTCTCTCTCTCTCTCAGATGAACTGAAGGCTGATTATGACACTATGGGGACCGATGTATCTCTGGAGCCCATTGGGAATGGTACAGGTGAGCATTTTTTACATTATGGAACTGTATTTTGTCCAAAAAAAAAACGACATGAAATTTTTTTTTTAAGTGTTTTGAATTACGAGGACACAAGAGATGTCCTGATAAACCAAAACAAAATCTAAAATAGAGTACAACTGGGTCATAACCATGTCATTATACACATTTTTATTCTTGTTAATCACTAAAACCTGCAAACACACTCACACACACACACATTTTATAATAATAATAATAATAATAATAATAATTATTATTATTATTATTATTATTATTATAATGATTATTATTATTATAATTATTATTACTATTACTATTGCTATTATTATTATTATTATTATTATTATTATTATTATTATTATTATTGTTATTATTATTTTAATTATTATTATTATAAGTATTATTACTATTACTATTATTATTACTATTATTATTACTATTATTATTATTATTATTATTATTATTATTATTATTATTATTATTATATTACTATTATTATTATTATTATTATTATTATTATTTTAATTATTATTATTATTTCTATTATTATTATTATCATTACTATTATTATAATTTTAATTATTATTATTATTATTATTATTATTAATTGATATAAGAAAAACATGTAAACATTCTTGAAAACATAAAAAATATTATCATTATTATTATCATCATTAATAATAATAATAATAATAATAATAATGATAATAATAATAATAATATATTTCGTATACAATTAATATTTTTCATATATTATTAATATTTTCATATTAATTTTAAGCAACACCAATACTAATGTTTAGACTTCAGAATGGTACAGGTGAGCGTTTTTCACATTTTGCCTTTTGATTTGAAGAGTTTTGAATAATGAGAACACAAGAGATGTCCTCATAAACCCCCCAAAATAAATCTAAAATAGAGTAAAACTAGGTCATAGCCATGTCATTATAAAAACTGTTGTCTTTGAAAACCACCCAAACTAGCAAACAACTTGGCCACACACACAAGGCAAGAGTCAATATAAGGAAATACCTTGAGTGTGCAAAATGTTTTGTTAAAGCTTGGAGAAAAACACAAATAAATGTACATAAATAAAATAAAAGTCACCCTTTACTGCAGTCAGAAACCCTTTTTTTTCTCCAGAAACAAGTCAACACTGATTAAATCCTGGGCATTTGAAGAGTTTGAGCTCGTTTCTTCATGCAAAATAGATTTGAGGATTGAAATGAAATGTCTCTGCTTGATTTTAGCGGTTTAGTAAAGGCGGCTCGTGTTTGACCTGAAGGCTTACAGTAAATAAAAGCTGGATTCTTGAAAAATATGGTGCATTGGAAGGTGAGAGAAACACTGCGTTAAAAACAACACAGCAACATTAGAGTAACGTTCTGGGAGGGATATTTCTAAATTACTGCCTTATCCAGCCACCTAATGGCCACTAAAATAAGAAATATGACTTAATCTAACAGGAGAACCAGTCCAAATGTGGAAAAGCTTTTAACCATAAACCCTTTTTTCTACTATGTAAACATATTAGAGGAGCAGAAACAACCAATGCTGTAAAACAACCGTCACTTCATTCATTCATTTTCCTACAGCTTAGTCCCTTGTTTATCAGGGGTCACCACAGTGGAATGAACTGCCAACTATTTTTGCATATGTTTTACACAATGCATGCCCTTCCAGCTGCAACCCAGTTCTGGGAAACACCCATACACACTCATTCACAAACACACACACACACACACACACACACACACACACACACACACACACACACACACACACACACTCATACACTACGGCCAATTTAGTTGATCAGTTCCCCTATAGCGCATGTGTTTGGACTGTGGGGGAAACCGGAGCACTCAGTGGAAGCCCACACCAACACCAACATGCAAACTCCACACAGAAACACCAACTGACCCAGCAGAGACCTAAACCAGCGACCTTCTTGCTGTGATGTCACAGTGCTAACCACTGAGCCTTTGTTTATTAATTAATTTATTTATTTATTTGTACTTTTTATTTATTTATATAGATTTAATGTTTTACATTTAAAAAAATATTTATTTATATTTATTTTAATTAAAAAATGGTTTTTTAATTTATTTTAATTAAAAAATATTTTATTTTTTTACATCTATTTATTTATTTATATTATTTTGTTTATATTTTTTATTTTATTTTTAACATTGTTTTCATTCATTCATTCATTTTCTTTTCGGCTCAGATCCCTTTATTTATCAAGGGTCACCACAGCTAAATGAACCAACAACTAATTCGGCACAGGTTTTACACAGGGAATGGCCCTTCCCAGAAGAAATCCACACCAACACAGAGAGAACATGCAAACTCCGCACAGAAAAGCAACTGGCCAAGCCAGGACTCGAACCAGAGACCTTTTTGCTGTGTGGCCACAGTGCTAACTACCCCGTTTTTGGATTTCGATGCATTTTCGTTACGAACTCATTCGCTTTATTGTTTGGATTCTGTTTTTTGTCTTACCTGATTTCTGGAATCGCTCTTCCCCGGTCTCGAACGCTGCCCGGCTCCTCCTCTTCCTCTGGGCCTTTGCTTCGCCGACGTAACACGACGAGCTAACCGGACAAACTAGTTGCGGCGGAAAAGCCCTTCACAATGAAGAGGCGAGTCATCAGCCCAGCCGGCGAGTGCGAAGAGGAGCGGCGTCACACCACCCCAAAGCGTTTGCTTGAAAAAACCAAATGCGGCCATACGTACCTCCGGCCACGTAAATTGCAGTCTCCAGAAACGTCCGTGGGGCTACATTTTCAGAATGAGCCTGGGTTACAAAATAAACAATAAAAAGCTGGACTTTAGAGAAGCTTGTAGTTGGCCAATGGTGCTGTCTATTTCAGCAACGCACCAACACACACTTAACACACCTCCTTTATAGACCAGCACACCCATGAGTCCTCAGTGTGCCGCAAATGGATTTGCTATTAAAGCAACAGTGCAAAACGTGAAAATTACTGCTGCGCTGGTCTGAAAATAGCAACAAACACGTCTTGCGCCTTATTGCGCTAGGGTGTATGATAGTGCCCATTATTTCTAAACAGAAGACAATATGTTTCCCCCTGTCTAGAAAATGCTTCTTGGTTTCAAGATTTGTAGACATTTGAACTCGAAACAAGATAAAAACTCAAATCTGAAAAGCTTTTTTGTTGTTGCAGTGAGCTCAGATGTTATTAAAACTCAAGAATTTTAGAGAAACAAATGAGAAAAGCTTGAAACCTAATCAAGACCTGTATACAGAGCAAATGACAAACATCTCCTGAGCAATAAAGCATCCTCTGGGTGAAGAATAAGTGCAAAACACACACACACACACACACACACACACACACACACACACACACACACACACACACACACACACACACACACACACACACACACACACACACAGAGAGTAAAGTAATAATTACCCCCCAGCAAACTGTTATTGTACAGCATAATAGTAATATCCAGCAGCTCTCCGTCTTCAGACGAGTGAAATATTACTACGCATGTTTGATAAGCTACCTTTTAATTAGGACGAGCTTGTGTGTGAGGTATGAACGGAGGTTTGTCTGACAGTAAACATTTTATCGTCTCATTTGTGCAAAGGTCGAGTCGCTGGGCTGTGTCGCTGTCAAAAATGTCTGGAAAATGTCAGCCCTTCAACATTATTTAACAGAGCAAATGATTTCCCTCCTCTCCCATTACACGAGCTGCTTCTCTATCGTTCACGTGAGCCGCAAATCCACACGTTTAGCTGCGTTTACATGATCTAAAACAAATCCACTTTACGCACAAATTAGATTTTGCCCTCAAATGCGATTTGGGGAAGTTCGCCGAGGAGAGAAAGAAAGCGATGTGTATATTTGACGTCTTGTTGTTTGAATGGAGAAGGTCCTGCAGAGGAGGACTGTGGGAGACGTTCATCTCTGGGGTGTGTGTCTATCATTAGGAAGCTTTATTAAAACTACGCATCCTTCCTCCTGAAATACATCAGCCGTGACAGCTCTGAAAAACAGCCATGAAGAAAGTACATTTGTGTGTGTGTGTGTGTGTGCCTTGTTTTTCTTACATTGTGAGGACCAAATGTCCCCACATGTATAGCAAAACTAGTACATTTTCACCTTGTGTACATTTTTGTTTTTGGTCTCCATGATTAAAAGAGCTCATAAATATGACAAAATTAAATATTTTGAAAATGTGAAACTGCTAATTGTTTCCTATAAGGGTTGGGTTTAGGGGTGTAGTTGGGGGAGAGGAGAGAATAGACAGTATGTACAGTAAAAACATCATTACATATATGGAAAGAGCAAGTGTGTGTCTGCAGTTTTTGTGGTATAAAATAGGGTCACACTTTATTTTCATGGTCCGTTTGTTGAATTTAAGTTACATTGCATCTACATGCCAACTAATTCTCATTAGACTAGAGGTATATGGAGACAGATAAGACTCAAAAGTAATTAATGGAATATTACGGAATGATAGGGTATATTTTACATATTAGGCAACTAAAGCACAACATCAGCCTGTTTACGTTCATTAGATATAACCAGGGCCAGAGTGGGACTCCTTTCGTACGTGAAAGAGGATTTGCACAATCTCATTTAGGATTAACTCGCAAGTTTTAAACATTCAAAACTTTTTGTACACTCCTATACATTTGCAAATGGTGTTTTGCATTTGTGAAACGTATTTTATGAAAATGTATTTTTATTTTGAGCATGTGAAATTTTTTTGTGAATATAAATAAATATTTTACGCTCGTGAATTTGGTTTTATGCACGTGAATTTGGCTATGCATGTGTAAATCGTGTCTTTTGCATGAATTACTTTTGAGTCTTATCTGTCTCCATAGAGGTAGACTGTTAAGTTGGGGTTAGTGTAAGTTGACATGTACTTGCAAAGTTTCCTATAGTCAGTCAAATGTCTGTTAAAGAAGCAGTATCAGCACATATTAAGCAGACAGTTTACTATTACTTAAAGTGTTACCTATAATAGTTTCATAGTTGACGGGTCAAATCATATAAAGTGTTGTACCCTGAATGTGTGCAGCCTTCATGAAAAAAAAAAAAAAAATTATACATATATATATATATACACACACACACACGCACACACACACGCACACACACACACACACACACACACACACACACACACACATGCATGCATAAATTTGAGAAAATGTGCATTTATATTTAGAAAATAAATTATATATATTTAATTTTGGGGTATATATATATATATATATATATATATATTAATTTTGGGGTCAGTTTTTATTGTTCATGCTGTTGTTTTTTATTTTTTATTATTACAATGAATCTGTTCATCAAAGCAACATTTATTAAATATAAAAAATGTTAAATATTTATGTTATTATTTCTAAATTTTAACTGCTTTCCTAAAGTGTGTATTTTCAAATCAAATGATTACTCCAGTCTTTATTGATTTTTTTACTATTACTGTTAATAATTAATTATAATGTTAGAGTGATTTCTGAAGGATCGTGTGATTTGAAGACTGGAGTAATGAAGTTGAAAATTCATTTTTTAAATCACTGGAATAAATTACTAAATTAAATAACAAAAAGTTATTTTTGTTTTCTATGTTATGTTTTTTTATGGGGGGGAAGTGGGGTCAGGATTTTAATGAAATTAGTGATGGATATTGTACATTTAAAAAAAAAAAATTTAAATTTTCCAGGAAAACGTTCAATAAAACACACTTAAAGCACCACATTGGAAATAAGATTTGTTTTTAAAGCTTTGTTGTGTTCTCCTTGACGAATTAAAGTGTATACACTTATTTTTTTGTCAAATAAAAAAAGAAAAAGGGCAGCATGATAGCTTTGTGGTTAGGACTGTGGCCTCACAGCAGGAAGGTCACTGGTTTGAGTCCCAACAGGGCCAGTTGGTGTTTCTGTGTGGAGTTTGCATGTTCTCCCCGTGTTTGCGTGGGTTTCCTTCAGGTGCTCCGGTTTCCCCCACAGTCCAAACACATGTGCTATAGGGGAATTAATGAACTAAATTGGCTGTAGTGTATGAGTGTGTGTGTGAATGAGTGTGTATGGGTGTTTCCCAGTGATGAAACATATGCTGGAATAATTGGTGGTTCATTCCACTGTGGCAACCCCTGATAAATAAAGGGATTTAACCGAAGGTAAATAAATGAAAAAAAAACAGCATTAGTTTGACTATTGTGATGTTTTAATAGTCATAGGTCTCTTGTAAAACACACACTCTCTCTTTCTCTCTCTCTGTGTGTTTCTGTAGTGAAGAGCGTTCACTGTGACACCGATTTCGAGGATTTCTTCGGGAAGCGTAAACTGGTGGACACTGAAAGTCACGTGGTCAGCATCGCCGAATACCTCCAGAGAGGAGACACAGCCATCATCTACCCTGAGGCGCCGGAGGAACTCTCCCGATCCCGGCTCGCCACTCCTGAAGCCACCGGACACGAGGAAAACGGTGAGAATGTCTGAGTGTGTTTACCTTAAGAGCGACGTGCAGCTGTCCCACTGCTGAAATCAGAAACCCCAAATTTCCCATCCCAAGGGGAGCAGCCGGGGCATTACAGCGGCGCATACCTCTCTTATGAAGAACGTGTGAAAAATTAGACCTGCGAGCCACCAGGAGAGATTACAACAGAGAGAGCACAACTGGCTGCAAACGCCAACAGTGTTCAGGCTTATACCACCGTAAACAGCTGCTTTCACACACTTAGAGCTGGCAGCAGATTATTCTGATCCTGCTTCATCAGGTTTAGTACTCATGTGTGACCCTGGACCAGTCATACAGTCTTTTCCAAATATTTCCCAAATTTCGTTGAACAGGTTCAGGAATTTTGCACAGTATTTCAGATAATATTTCATTTTATTCATTTGGCACAATGTTTACTTCAAATGTTCTGCATTTCCAGAGCTCTCAGTGGAGTTTTGACTAAAATGACCACCTTTATAAATCTGCTGTTGATGCCAATCACCTTAAACTTCCTGAATATCTTCTAAATGAATCACCTTGCTAATTTGTCCCTCGGTCTAGTATGAACCCACTGTAACAGTGGAACATTCTCTTAAGCCCCTTTCACCCATAAACACCTTTCCGGAAAATTACAGGCAATTTTCTGGAAAGGTGTGTATGTGTGAACAGGCCTTTTTTGAAAATACCGGTAAATTGGTTCTGGCTATTTTCCGGAAAGAGAAGTTGTAACATTACCGGTAATTTGCCGGAATGCTGCGCTGTGTGAACACTGAAGGAAGATTGCCGGAAAGAGCGCGTGCACGTCTAGAACGTGCTGAAGTGAGACGGCTGCTTTAGCCAATCACAACAGTCAGACGCATTCACGTCCGCGCGGTTTATGAGAATAAAAGCCTTTGAATATTTTTCCTGACACATTCAGCTGCTAGATGTTAGTCAGATCACGTTTATATGTTCATCTTAATGCCAACCGTGTAATTAATTATCGATAAGATGCTTTTGATAAGCCGTTGTTTGTTTACCTTCAAGCTTTGCGTGTGCCTGTGAAACAGCCTGTGAGCGCCTGCACACGCACATATCATGAACATCTCGACATGCGAAAGTGTTTCTCTATGTGTGTTTCATCGAAGTTGTTCACAATACTGATCCAGCCACAGAGTTCGTGATGTAGTCAAATGTTTACAAATACAAGCGCAGCTGTTTAGAGCTCATTTCTGGTTAATGATGTCAGAATTTACCGCTGTTTTGGAATGGATGTGTGAATGATCTTTTCCGGAAAAATTCCGTAACGTCCTCGCCTGTGTGAACAGCGCTTTTTTTAATTTACCAGTAAAGTTGCTCCAGAAATTTTCCAGATATTTACCGGTACCACTGTGTGAAAGGGGCTTAAGTTCCAAGAGTTCAGTCAAAGCAGGGTGAATCAGCTTTCAGCTACTAACAGCGCCCCCTGCTGCTGGAATCGGCTTCCAGAAATGATCAGATGTGCTCCAACATTAGGCACATTCACATCAAGACTGAACACACATCTGTTTAGCTGTGCCTTTACTGAATGAGCACTGTGCTGCGTCCGACAGATTGCACTATTATGTTTTTTTCTTGTCTTTCATTATCTTATAACCTATTTTAACACATTTGATCTGTTTTATTTTTATAATTCTTATTATTTGTTTTTATTTTCTGACACTTGTCTCTTTTATTCCTGTTTATGTAAAGCACTTTGAATTGCCACTGTGTATGAAATGTATTCATTCATATTTTCTTAGTCCCTTTATTAATCCGGGGTCGCCACAGCGGAATGAACCGCTAATTTATCCAGCACATTTTTACGCAGCGGATGCCCTTCCAGCTGCAACCCATCTCTGGGAAATGTGTATGAAATGTGCTATATAAATAAACTCGCTTAAATGTGTTTTTGCATCACGTAAACCCCATAAGCAAGGCTCCTACTGTAAGTGCACCTACCGTGTGTGCGTACACATGCATTGGCATGAGTGTGAGAAATCATTTTGACTCATAAATGGAATTTGCCAAAAATATACTCAAGCTCTACCAACATATGTTGGCATAAAGCACATAGAATTGCTTTATATTAGCTGTAGTTGTTAGTTCAATGCACATGTAATGATAGCAGACGTGATGAACACATTTTGCTGGACTCATTACTTCAAATATTCTGCTTTCTGTGGATGTTTGACTAAAATGACCACCTTTATTAATCAGCTGTTGATGCCAATCACCTTAAACTTCCTGAATATCTTCCAAATGGATCACCTGCAACCGTGCAAAATCATCTGAACGTTTTATTTCCATCACGTAAATCCCATGAGCAAAACTCAGCAAATTTGAGTGCACCCACACTGCGTGTGTTCATGCATTGGCGTGCGTGAGCGAGTGTATGTGTATGGCTGGCAGTGCCAACCTTGACGACGGCACACAGTGGAGCAGATTGTACAGATAGCTCCTCATACCAGGCTGGGCACGGCGCCCATTCGCTGCCATTGATTTGCTGACCTTTTGGCCCGCTGCCCCTTTCTCTCTGCCGCAGACCTGCCACCTGGAACTCCAGATGCTTTCGCCCAACTGTTGACCTGCCCCTACTGCGACCGGGGCTACAAGCGCTTGACTTCCCTGAAGGAGCACATCAAGTACCGGCACGAGAAAAACGAGGAGAACTTCGCCTGCCCTCTGTGCAGCTACACGTTTGCTTACCGCACTCAGCTGGAGAGACATATGGCCACACACAAGCCAGGCCGAGATCAGGTGAGACGCACTTCCTCTCTATCTCTCTTTTACTCCCTCTATCTTTCTCTCTAATTCAAAAGTTGCATTATTGACATGACGAATGCTACAAATGCATTGGCAAAACATTTATAAAGTTTGCATTATATATAGAAACATCATAGACACAGTAAATTTTAATAGCAAAACAATAAGCCAGGCCGCACGAAAGGTGAGCCACACTGTGTGTGTGTGTGTGTGTGTGTGTGTGTGTATATAGCCTATATATATATATATATATAAACATAGTTAACATGGTAAATAGTAGTAGTAAAACAATAAGCCAGGCCCAGATAAGATGAGTCTTATTTCCTCTCTGTCTCTCTTCCTCTCTCTCTCTCCCTTTTTCTCTCAATCTCTCTCTCAAATTCTGAATTAAAATTGTATTATTGGCCTGACGAATGCTAAAAATGTAATGGCAAAGCATTTATAGAGTTTGCATTAAAAATAACATATATATATATATATATATATATATATATAAATATAGCCTTATTTCATCTCTATCTCTATTGTTCTCTCTATCTTTTCCTTTCAATCTCTCTCTCAACTTAAAAAAAATTGCATTATTGGCATGACAAATGTTACAAATGTATTGGCAAAGCATTTATAAAGTTTGCATTATATATAAATATGTACTGTAGTAAACACAGTAAATAGTAGTATTAAAAACTAAACCAGGCAGAGATCAGGTGAGTCTTATTTCCTCTCTATCTCTCTCTTTCTCTCTTACTTTCTCTCTTTTTACTCAATCTAATTCAAAAATTGCTCTGAACTGGCATGGCACATGTTTTGGCGAAGCATTTATAAAGTTTGCATTATATAAAACTATATAAAATTGTAGTAAACACAGTAAATAGAAGTATCTCTCTTTTTTCTCTCTATTTTACTCAATCTTTCTTTCAAATTCAACTTCAGAAATTGCATTGTTGGCATGAGGAATGTATTGGCAAAGCATTTATGAAGTTTACATTAAAAATAACATCTATATATGAAGAGTTCAGATGCAAAAACCTCTAAGTGCCGTCTGAAATTTCCATCAAAAATAGACGTTTTTCTCAGCCTCCTTTGTTTTATGTTGAGATATTTCACTTTAAAGACCAGGAAAATAATTTATTCTTTGGCATAAAAGTGATATTACTGAACATACACAAGGGACAAAAATGCTTAATTTAGAGGAAAAATTCAGATGGCATTTAGAGGTTTTTGCATCTAAACTCTAATATATATATATAAACATAGTAAACACAGTAAATAGCAGGCCTAGTAGTAAACATTAAGCCAGGCTGAGATCTGGTGAGCCTCTATTCCACTCTCTGTTTTTCTCTCTCCCTTTTTCTCTCAATCTCTCTCTCGAATTCAGTTTTAAAAATTGCATTACTGGCCTGACGAAAGTTACAAATGTATTGGCACACTATTTATAAAGTTTGCATTATATATATAAAAAAAACATACTGTAGTAAACACAGTAAATAGTAGTAGTAAGAACATAAACCAGGCTGAGATCAGCTGAGCCAGACTTCCTCTCTATCTCTTTCTCTCAATCTCAATTTATTTCATCATCATAACGTGTGCATTAGAAAGAACATGGGAGAAATAAGTATTGAACACGTCACCATCTTCCTCAAGAAACATATCTCAAAAGGTGCTGTTGACTAGCATTTTTTTTTGGATGTTGGTAACAACCACAGGAATTGATATATGCAAAGAAAACAAATCTAATTAGTTTACAAATGAATGAGTGGGTGCTCCGGTTTCCCCCACAAGTCCAAACACATGTGGTATAGGTGAAAGGGAGTAAGCTAAATTCTCCATAGTGTATGAGTGTGAATGAGTGTGTATGGATGTTTTCCAGTAATGGGTTGTGGCTGGAAGGGCATTCGCTGCATAAAACATATGCTGGATAAGTTCATTCCGCTGTGGCGATCCCAGATTAATAACGGGACTAAGCCAAAAAGAAAAGGAATGAATGAAGTTCTGTGTAACAGAATGAAATGACACTGGGAAAAAGTATTGAAAAAGGGAGGTAGAAAGCCAGGCTAAGATTTCATCTCTATCTCTCTTTTTCGATCTCTCTTTTTCTCTCAATCTTTCTCTAGAAGGATACAATCTGTTTTCCCCCCTAGTAAATATCAAAGTTGTGTTTGATTGTGTATCTTCATGAATTGAGGGTAGTTTGGGGTTGAATGTCTCTCTTTTTCTCTCTCTCTCTTACTCGTTCTCCTGCTCGCTCTACCTCTACACCTAATGCGCTGTATTCCCTCAGAGAAAAGATATCATTTTGATTGGCAATCATTATTAATTTTTCATGGCGTTTTGAAGATGCGGATCTTTTAATGGTTATAGCCTTAATTGAGGTCTAAATGGTTTTTTGATGGCCTGCTCTGATATGATTCTGCAGTCTTATATTCACGATCCAATGACTATGTTAATTTCCAATTTGGAAATGGTATCCGCTCTTTTAGGTTTGCCTTTTTTATGTTCTTTAAGAATCAGCTTCTCTGCAAGTGACAGAGTAACACATCATCATTTCCCTGCGCGTAAATGATAAACGTGAGTCTTTGAGCACTCAGCGTTTTATCTCTTAACAATCTGTTCGCGGCATTACTTACACACGTTTAATAGCTTGTTGCGGCTGGCGTGTCAAATCTAAGATGCGTTCCCTCGAGGAAACAGGTAGATGCGCTGAACCTCTTCTGGCAGATAAAGCAGGTCTATGTAAAGCAAAGCGATAGGCCTCTCCGGAGACACAGCCACTTAAAACTTATCTTCACACCTCAAAGCGCCATCCGAATCGCTCCTGTAATCATCTGAGATGAAGTACAGCAGCTCTTTTATCTCGCAGACATGACGTTCAGACTAGAACAGAATGATTTGATACACGGTAAAGCTGCCAACTTCTTCACCTGATGCCACGGGCCGCTCAAAACACCAACAGATGGCCCATTCTGCACCCGTGACCTCTCTAATCCACAAATTACTTCCTATTTGTTGGTCTTTGTTTGTGTTCTTCATCTCGAAAGAGTTTCCTGTTGAATATCTCCCATTGAAATCAACTGTTGGAAATGTGCGGGAGATGTGCTTATATGCAAATAGCCATCCAAATGCCGTGTCCGCATCATGCTTGACACATTTAAGGAAAGAATATCAGACTTTTGCGTCAATATCTCTTGATTTGATCCTTTTTAATAGATATTAAGCTTTTTTAGGGATTTGGTTTGAGCAGGGGTGCCCAGACTTTTTCATATAAAGGGCCAAAAATCTAACTCGATTGAGGGCTGTGGCCTAAATAATTACCAAACTGTGTATATTAAATTTGCCATGGGTTATTTTCGAGTTTATTTAGTTATATTTAAAAATAGCTAGATAACGTTGCTTTAAATCATATTGCATAATGCAGTATCACTTTAAACATTTTATAATGAAGTTAATACAGTAAAGGATAAACAACCCCATTAATAAAACAAGTTCAATGCTGAATACGCCAATCGAGCTTACTTATATTTGCTTGCAGATGTCTTGTGCATCTGTCAAGTGACACTATTTACATTTAAACATCTGAAACATTTACAGCATTTAATTGAATCGTTTAATTTCAGTCTGATCAGCTGAGCAATAAACAAAAAGAAACAAAGGGTTACGTTACATGACGATCATTGTCAAAGGTATTCACCCCAACCACCTCCATCATTCTCCCTCTCTTTTTAGATTAGATGGCGGGCTAAAGCAAAGGTTATTACCATGGGCCAACTATGGCCTGCGAGCCCTACTTTGGGCATCTCTGGGTTAGAGGATGTAGAATAAGATAATACAGATTATGTCATCTTTAAATACTAATAAGCAGCCAATATCTCAATGACATGGATGCTAATAGTAAGAATGGGTCCCTAAAGTATTAGCAAATGCATTCATTTTGATTGATTTTGAGGATTCTGTAGAGGATAGCACACTGTAAAAAAAACTTGGGATGCTGGAATAAACTGTAAGATAAAAGATGTTAAATTACAGAAAGTTACAATAAAATATTGGATTTTAAATCATAGAATTTCTTTTGTAAAATAACGGATTTTAAATTATAAAAATTTACTCTAAAATAGCAGATTTTAAATTATAGAAATTTACTGTAAAATAACGGATTCTAAATTACAGTAATTTACTGTAAAATAACAGATTTTACATTGCAGATTTTTTTTGTAAAATAGCAGATGTTAAATTACAGAAATTTACTCTAAAATAGCAGATGTTAAATTACAATAATTTACTGTAAAAGAACAGATTTTAAATTACAGAAATTTACTGTAAAATAACGTTTTTTAAATTACAGAAATTTACTGTAAAATAACGGATTTTAAATACAGAAATTTACTGTAAAATAGCAGATTTTAAATGACAGAAACTTACTGCAAAATAACGGATTTTAAATTACAGAAATTTACTGTAAAATAAAAGATGTTAAATTACAGAAATTTACTGTAAAATAGCAGATTTTAAATTACAGAAATTTACTGTAAAATAACAGATTTTAAATTGCAGAATTTTTTTGTAAAATAACAGATTTTAAATCACGGAAATTTACTGTAAAATAACAGATTTTAAATTGCTGAATTTTTTTTGTAAAAAAGCAGATTTTAAATTACAGAAATTTACTGTAAAATAACAGATGTTAAATTACAGATATATACCAATTTTTTTTGTTGTAATTTACATGTTATTTTATGGTAAATTTTTGTAATTTAACTGCTGTTATTTTAATGTTTTTTTCCAACACCCCAGCTGCCAGAAAAAAAAAAAAAAAAGTTATGGTTTATCTTAAAATTTGTTTTACAGTGTAGATAAAAACAAAAAAGTGAAATAAGCAGTGCATGCCATGCAGTTTTGTAAATGTAAAAATGACAAATTAAGAGTCTTTGTTGTATAAATAGTCAATAAAATTGTAACTTTCAATTGTTAAAAGGTCATGCAAAAACATGTAAATTATAACATTTCCCTCCATTATGGTTAAACTTTTGCTCTGAGGTCAAATGTAATCCTAACTCAACATTGCACTGAGGTATGATTACATTTGAGCAAGATTCACAGCTCAGAGCTTGAGATTTGTAGAGTCATCAGTAGTCAACATTTGAAGAGGATCAAAGTTTTTCACAATCATCCTGAGACAAGAATAGGTGTTGTTCGATATCTTTAGGACAACTTTAATAAAAGGTTTTGATGCTCTTCAGCTGTTGACTACTGTATTGAGGATGCATGCATTGCGATATTAATTCTGAAATGATATAGTGTGCTGCCCTAAGTGATTGTATCATATCAAGTGTGATAGAGGGACTAAAACCTGCCTCCATCCTCGGAGGGAAGGTGGGGGTGTAAAGCAGCTGTTGCTGTTTGTTTATGCGACTCAGCAACATATGAGCGAATGGTGGGGTCCCTCCCCGCCGTGGGCCGCACGGCTCCCCGCTTGATGTTTGAAGGTTGCCGCTGTTTGAACAATCCTCCCTGTGTCCTATGCTTTATGCCATCTGTCTCCAGTGGAATTTCAGGCTTTTTTTCCTCTCTCTCTCTCTCTTTCTCCACCAGTTGTCGGAGCCGATCATGGGCGGCGCTCACAGGCCTTTTGTGTTCCTCTGCCCATTCGACATACTCACCTCCCACTCTGAATTAATTGTGCTCGCCTGGTGCGCTTCTCCGCACTGACGCTCGTATTGTTGTTGTTGTTATTGTTATTATATTTTGATTTTCGAGGCTCTGCTTTGAATTGCAAATGCGAGGGGCGCAGCGCTCATGTTCTACCTTTGAACAGCAAATGAAGTGCCTGCCTACGAGCCGCATTCACGCATTATTAAAGAGACGTTTGAAGCCTTTAAACAGTCTACAAATGCACGTCCAATTATGAAATTGCAACATTTTATGCGAGCCCACCTTTTTTGCGTAATGAACTCTCTCCGCTCAGGTATTTCAAGGATGGGTTGAGGTTTATTAAACATGCGAGATTTATTTGGAACGATTATGCTAAATTGGATGAAGTGGATCATTTCTGCCTCCCTAATGAGGAAAAAAAAAAAGTCTTAAAAATAGGATGCTTTTTGTTCAGGTTTTTTTTTCCGCTGCCAATGCTGGGTTTCTGGCTCTAGAGTCAGGAAATGAAAAGGTACGAGATGCTCTGTTATCGCTGCTCAAATGCACCCAAGCAAAGCAAGATGCTGCTTTACAACGGGAGCCATTTGGCCCGTCATGAAATTATTCACTGAAATCTTGCCTGTTGTGTGATTGCGTATTTGTGCAAGAGAAGAGCTCATGTGAATATTTTCCCATCCACAGCATCAGATTCTCAACCAGGGTTCTGGGAACCGCAAGTTCAAATGCACTGAATGTGGCAAGGCCTTCAAATACAAACACCATCTAAAGGAGCACCTGCGGATACACAGTGGTACGTCCTTTTCTTTCTTTCATAACTCATTGCCTTAGTCTTGATTCTACATAAGAACGAATTGGCTCTTTGTTGGTTTTGTCCTTGCAATCTCTTCATGAAAGTTTTAGTAGATCACAAGGGGTACAAACTCTTTGAAAGGAATGCAATTAGTGTTGATTAAGCATCTCTTGCTTCTTGATGTGGTCAACTTTGTTATCTCTGTTCACTGTAGGTGAGAAGCCATACGAATGTCCAAACTGTAAGAAGAGGTTTTCACACTCCGGGTCCTACAGTTCACACATTAGTAGTAAGAAATGCATTGGATTGATTGCAATCAACGGCAGGGTTAGGAACAACCTAAAGACTGGTTCATCCCCAACTTCTGCTTCTTCCTCTCCTACGAACAATGCCATTTCTCAGCTACGACACAAACTGGAGAACGGCAAACCTCTCGGATTGCAAGACCAGTCCAACCACCTCAACATCAAATCTGAACCACTGGACTTCAACGACTATAAGCTGATGATGGCCTCTCATGGCTACGCTACGGGAAGCCCTTTTCTCAACGGTGGAGTGAGGGGAGGCAGTCCGTTGGGCATTCATAACTCCCAGAGTCCCCTACAGCACCTGGGAATGGGTATTGAGGGGCAAATGTTGGGATACCCATCACTGGGAAACAATCTGAGTGAGGTACAGAAGGTGCTTCAGATTGTGGATAACACAGTTTGTCGACAAAAGATGGACTGCAAGCCGGAGGAGATCTCCAAGCTGAAGGCGTACATGAAGGAGTTGGGTTCCCACATAGAGGAGCAGAAGCAGGGGCTCAACTCCTCTGGTGGAGGCCAGGGCACTCTTCCACTCATCAATCACAATGGAGCCACCAAGAGCATCATAGACTACACACTCGAGAAGGTCAACGAAGCCAAAGCCTGCCTCCAAAGCTTGACTACAGACTCTAAGAGGCAAATTAGCAATATAAAGAAAGAGAAGGCAAATCACATGCTAGATTTAGGAATGGAGGAAAAAGCTCATGAGAATAATTTAATGTTTACACCATTCTCCTGCCAGTATTGCAAAGAGACGTTCCCAGGGCCCATTCCTTTACACCAGCATGAGCGTTACCTGTGCAAGATGAACGAGGAAATCAAAGCAGTGCTTCAACCCGCTCAGAATGCCCTGACCAACAAACCCGGCTTGTTTTCTGAGAAACATGGCCTGTTGCATCCTTCCATCATCCCTGAGAAGAGCCTCAATGGCCCAATCAGTCCCTACAAGGACCACATGTCAGTACTAAAAGCTTATTTCGCCATGAACATGGAGCCCAACTCCGAAGAACTACTGAAAATCTCCATAGCGGTTGGCCTTCCGCAGGAGTTTGTGAAAGAGTGGTTTGAGCAGAGGAAAGTCTTTCAGTACACCACTTCCAGAACTCCTCCTTTAGACAGGAGTCCCGTGGAGTCTATCCATCCGGTCTCCGCTCACACACCCACTAAAGACTCTTTAGGAATTCGTTCTCCGATGTCCCTTGTCAAAGGTAGCGACCGCATCACATCCCCAGCCATCCCCGAGCTACATAACAACTGCGACACCCCACTCAGGCTGTCCAAAACCCCCCAATACTCCAATCACAAGCAGCTAGGGGATAAGATGGACCACTCCCGGAGCAACACGCCCTCTCCTCTGAACTTATCGTCCGCCTCGTCCAAAAATTCCCACACTAGCTCTTACACGCCCAACAGCTTCACCTCCGAGGACCTGCAGGCCGAGCCTCTTGACCTCTCCTTGCCAAAGCTCATGAAGGAGCCAAAGCACATCTTGACTGTGAAAAGCCGACTTAAGCTCAACAGTGGCCCCATGGACCACAATCACGTAGCGACACCCCGCGAGCATGCGGACGAGCCACTCAACTTGGCGTATCTCTCCAAGAAGGAGTTCGGCAGCCCCAATGCAAACAGCAATCTGGACAAAAGCTCTAGTCCTATGTTTGGTCTAAACCCGTTCGCTGCCAAACCAATGTACACCTCCCTGCCACCCCAAAGTGCATTCCCGCCGCCTACATTCATGCCCCCAGTGCAGGCCAGCCTCCCAGGGCTCAGACCCTATCCCAGTCTCGACCAGATAAGCTTTTTGCCACACATGGCCTACACGTACGCGGCAGGGGCAGCCAGCTTCGCAGAGATGCAGCAAAGGAGAAAATATCAGCGGAAACCAGGGTTCCAGGTAAATAACCGATTCACATTTTCATACGCTCTCAAGCTGCGTTTACACTGCACACGACATGTCAGAAGTCGCCCCCTAGTGGCAGTGGCACAGAATTCTCATTTTGGTCATACATGTAAGCTCATTCTTGGGTCTCGGAAAGCATATGTGCTTATTATAATGTCCTTAACTTGGTTGTCATTCTGTTTTAGGTTGTGCTTAGTGTTATTAATATACGCTATCATAATATTTATAAATAAAGCTAAATGGAGATATTAAATGGAGACATTCTCTGTGCATTGACCATGGTGATCTGAATACATAGACCATCACCAATTTTGAAGGGAACCTGAAGAGAGCAAAAAAAAAAAATATATATATATATAAATATTATATATATATCCTTTATAAATGCATTTTTTTAATAATAAAAATTGACATAAAATTTAATAATTGTTGTTGTGACCTGGTGTGCGTTTCCGAAAACCATTGTTAGAAAAACTAGTGTCGCAAGTTCCATCGTTACAAACAGTGTTCGTTGATTTGGCGTTTCCCAAATCCATTGTTCTAAAGAACATGCGCAAACTGCGTTGCAATCTTGTATGCTTTCAACTACACCTCTAGAGCTGTAGTTAGAAACAGTTCCTGGCTGTGTTCTATTCCCAGTTATCCCCCCTGTGCCCTATTCGTTTAGAACATTCTATTATTTAAACTTGGAAGTCATCCCTCTTAGCTGTAATTTGCTTTTAAAGTGTACAGTTCAGTTTTAGTGATCATCATCTTGACAATTCTGCACCCTTCTCAGTGCTCTTTGAAAACATTGATGTAATTTTGAACAATTTAAAATCGGGATTTGTGTTACATTTCCAAAGCTTGTGAAAACAAAAAACACAGCATACGTTAATGGTTTTAATTTTTAGTAGGCTATTTATTAGATATCTGTACTGTATATGACACGAACCTGCTGGTTAGAACATTTCTGCAGTGGTTTGCATGTGTCAAATTGTAAAAGTAGACTTAAAAAATAAATAAATAAATAAATAAACAATATCCTACCTAATAATAATAATAATAATAATAATAATAATAATATTAATCTTCATCATCATCATCATTATTAATGTTATTAATATTTTTATTAAAGTAGGATTTTTTTAATTTCCTAATAAATAATAAATATTAAATTTAATTTTTGATAAATATCCCCATTATTTATTTATTTATTTATTTATATGATTTATATATGATATAAGAATACGTGTTAGCTTTTGTAAGTGATTTGATGTTTTACAGTAGAATATGCGATGTTCTGGATAATATTAGTAAAGGAAACACAGGCCCTATATGTGCCGTTTACACATATTTCAGTTAGTATGGAAAGCGAGTGCATGTTTTTACCAAAACTAATATTAGATTTTTTTTTTTTTATGTGTGTGCGTGTAAAACAATATAATTTGCACAAATAAATGCTGGAGTTTTTCTCTAAAGAAGTTTCTTTATTATCATTATGGGCGTTTTACGTTATAACTAACGTGGTTCAAATGACGGATCTGCGACAGAGAAACTACAGGTTTTGGGGAAACTCTTGTCACTACGTCTTTCTTTCTCAAACAGTTACGCCATTGTTTGGGAAATGCACCCCTGATTGTACAACACCGTAATGCATATCATGAGCAGGCGCGTATACGATCTAGCTGCAGAAGTTTGACTATTTTAATATATTCCAGCTCAAATTGTATCTGAACTTTCCAGATTTTTTTGCTTGTCGTGTGCAGTGAAAAGGCGGCTTCAGGCCTTGTGTTTCTTTTTTCTCGGCCTCTGGTGAGTGGTGCTCGGCTTCATTCAGACACTAATTAAAAGCCACTCAGAGTGTGAGAGGGAGCTCACCTCTCGCCCAGCGGCAGACAGAGATCTGCGGCTCCTGTGGTCGATGTCAGTGCCTGTAGTGCCGAACACCGGCTCTTTTAGTGCTGATGCTTGTGTTAGCAGCCCTAGAGTGGCTCGTCTGTGATACCGAGAGCAGAAAACGTCAAAGTGCCAGTTTTTTCCAGAGCTTTACTGTAGATGCGCCTGCAGCGTCGCTGCTCTGTGCCTGTCTCAGGTGTGAGGAAAATCAAAGACACGAAGAGTCAGTGAACCTCAGACACATCTCTCTTTATTTCTCCGTCTTTTTATTCTCCTGTATTTTATTCTCCAGCAAGAAAAGCTCAAATGAGTTTGAGCATAAAGATTAATAATGCACACTCCCCATGTTCATTACAGCTCAGCGCTGAGGGCTGTTTAACATCGGGGAAACCATTCTGATAAAAAAGTATTAATAATGTTTCCTATTCTAAGTTATTAAATTAGATTTTAAAAATACAGCTAAGGGCATTTAGCTCAAATTGATTGCGGTGCGATAGTGCAGGGCTTTTTAAAAGAGACTGCGCAGTAGTATTGTCAGTCCAGAGCCGGCTGTCCTTAATGAGGGCATCGTCGCTGCAGTTTTGCCCATTTTCTGCCCCTCTTGATTTAATCATTACCGCTTGAAATTAGACGACTGTGGCAATATTCCCTACCAAGACTCTCTTCTTATTGTTATTAGCTTCTAATGTAATAATATTTTTTTCCCCCATTAATTTAAGTTTAAGCCTATCGGGGTAATCTCTGCTCAGATAAATACTGCGCTAACACCCTTTCATGTATGAAATTAAACCAAATTTGAATGCAAATATATGGAATAAGGTGTGATTAAGAAGAGAGAAAGGCCTCATTTGCAATATCCTGCCTTTACATGCTTTTTTTTGGGTCACAAACATGTTAATGTTTAATTTGGAAGACTCCTACTACTCCAGTTTTAGCCCAGAAATGAGTCTCCTAATCATATTTACATGATAAATATAAATGACTTATATATATATATATATATAACATCATACAATACAGCATTAGATTCTCTGTTGATCTGTTCTGTCACTTATTTTTTATTTAAAGCTTTCATAATGCATATTCTCAAATACATATTACATTATGATCCAGTAATTGTTATTAGATATGCATTATAAGTAACTCTTCAGTTCAAGTACCCATTCCCACTATTAATTCCGGGTAATAACATGCCTATTATTAAGATATTATCTGTTTATTAGTACTTGTATAATATGATCTTATTTACTCAATACTTTTTAACAATTAACAAACAGCTAATAAGCATTGATTTAATACTTTAATGAACTAAAAGTCTTTGTTAATGACTATTTATTCAGTAGTTTCTTATCCGTGTGTGTGTGAATTTCAGAATTTTATCGTATGTACAGTGATAATAAAGTAAATTGAATATATTTGTGGTAATTCCACCTTAAAATATGACTGAGATATATGATTGCAGATTATATAATTAGATTTCATTTTTAATTAGCAGTTGATTGGTGACTATTGCTTTAAATTCAAATGAGATTGTGCTGGGCGGAGCTAAAAATGCCTGTGTGCCAGCATAGTGGCAGCTTCAAAAACAAGACAATCATCGTATGCTAATGAGGGAGAGATGGGCACTATCTGTTGATCTGTTCTGTCTCTTATATATAATTTAAAGCTTTCATAATGCATATTCTCAAATAAATATTACATTATGATCCTTTTTCTTAAGAAGTAATTATGGATGAATTATAAGTAACTCTTCAGTTCAAGTACTCATTCCCACTATTAATTCCGGATAATTACATGCCTATTATTAAGATATTATCTGTTTATTAGTACTTGTATAATATGATCTTATTTACTCAATGCTTTTTAACAATTAACTAACAGTTGATAAGCAGTGATTTAATAGTTAATGAACCAAAAGTCTTTGTTAATGACTATTTATTTAGTAGTTTCTTATCTGTGTGTGTGTGAATTTTAGTTTCATTGTATATACAGTGATAATAAAATAAATTGAATAAATTTGTGTTAATTCCACCTTACAATATGACTGAATTATATGATTTCTGATTAAATCATTAGATTTAATTTTAATTTGCAGTTGATTGGTGACTGTCGCTTTAAATTCAAATGAGATGGTGCTCTTTTCATAAGAGGGCGGGGCTACAAGTGCCTGTGTGCCAGCATAGTGGCAGCTTCATAAACAAGACAATCATCGTATGCTAATGAGGCAGAGATGGGCACTAGTGGGCGGGGCTTTCCCCCTCTGTTGACACATACAAAGAGAAAATGTCAATCAAAGTGTTTCCTTCATCAAGTCTGATTATAAAATAATATAATTAATACATTTTTTCCATTAGAAGCTGGATATATTCACAGACTGTTGTGTTTAAACCCCTTATAAAAGTGATTTTTGCATAATAGCTCCCTTTTAAACATCAGTGTTGCCGTTAATTTGTAGTTATAGAGTGATCTGCAGTGTGTTATTGCTGACAGTAAGCGTCTCATGGTAAATATGAAGAGCTAAACGCCGCTGTCTCTTTCCAGAGCGAGCTTCTTGACGGGCCGGCAGATTATCTGAGCAGTCTAGATGATATGGCCGACCCCGAGGCCTGTCTGTCCAGGAAGAAGATTAAGAAAACAGAAAGTGGTATGTACGCGTGTGACCTTTGCGACAAAACATTCCAGAAGAGCAGTTCCCTCCTCAGACACAAATATGAGCACACAGGTATATATACTGTTCTAGACACCATCATTTAATAACTGTCTGTCTACCTCCAGAATATTCACGCTGCTGCTGCCTGCTTTCTTCCTTCCTTTCGCTCTGTCCCTTTTTTCCTTCATGTTTTCTTTTACTCTTTAATCTTATTCAATATACAGTGTTCAGCCCTCACTCTTTTACATCAATATTCTCTATAGCGTGAAGTAAAGATAATAATTAAGGCTAATGAAATACAGTTAATTAAATAAATTATCTATCACTTTCTATCGCTCTGCCTTTTTTCATGTTTTTTTTCCTTTCTTTTTTTTTTTTAGATCTAAACTAACATGCTTCTCTCTTGTTGACAGTCAGTGAGAGGATTCGTTAATGTAATTAGTGTGACATGACACTGCTTTAAAATAAAGATATTAATTAGGACAAATTAAATAAATAAAGTGATTGACTAAACAATCTCTGGAATTAAAGCTGGTTTAATGTCTGACAGTCAGCAAGAGCTTTCATATTTACACTGTTAGTAGAGGCTACATTCACACATTAGTATTTATTTATGTTTGTGTATATATATATAGATATTAGAACTATTTGTATTTGTTTAACACTGACCTGTTTTTGGATGGCTGTATGAATAGGAAATATCACATTTCTTGGTTCATATGTTACAATAAAATAAAATAATTTCGATTAAAACTAGCCACTTAGGATAAAAATAAATGTAAAAAGCAACATTTCAACATTTTTCAGTATATTTATTTTTTAAATACAAAATAATTAAATAACATTATAAGTAAACCTCAAGATTGAAGTTGAATTATTTCCAATTCTATACAATAAAAAAAACTGTGTCTTTTATCTGACAATCCTTAAAGGACCCTTAAAACAAATCATTTTCAATAGAAATAAATGCCAACATAGAAAAATCAACATTGTAATATTTTTCAGCATAAGCTTTTTTTTTTTTTAACTTAATAAATAAATAAACTTAATAAAATAATAAAATAAAATAATAAATAATAAAATATTCATTAAATTAAATTAAATTAAATTAACAAACAAACAAATAAATAAATAAACTTCAAGGCTGTTTACTTACAATCCTTTAAAATAAATAAATAAATAAATGAATACATGAAATGAAATGAAATAAAATAAATAATTAAATTAAATTAAATTAAATTAAATTAAATTAAATTAAATTAAATTAAATTAAATTAAATTAAATTAAATTAAATTAAATTAACAAACAAACAAACAAATAAATAAACCTCAAGGCTGTTTACTTACAATCCTTATACTTTAGATAAAATGTTTTATTTTTTAATCAACATTCTAATCTTTACAAAAAAAAACACACATAAAGAAAAAATAAATAAATGAAATGAAATGTCATAAAATAAAATAAAATAAAATAAAATGTCATAAAATAAAATAAACAAACAATCAAACAAACAAGCAAATAAATAAATAAATAAATAAATAGATAGATAGATAGATAGATGATAGATAGATAGATAGATAGATAGATAGATAGATAGATAGATAGATAGATAGATAGATAGATAGATAGATAGATAGATAGATAGATAGCATTATAAGTGAACCTCGACAAACATGTCCTGACCCTCTTAAACTCAAAGAATAAAATACATAGCACTTCACACACACGTGGGGTGTGTAAATACACTGATAGTGTTGAGATGGATGAAAGAGGAGGGTGGAGCGGCTCTAGAGCTCCATTCAATATAGTGGAGGATGTAAAGTTCTAATGCTGCTGCAGACATTGAGTTCCAGAGTCCAGCCAGTGGAAATAACAGAGTGAAATTAAAGTAAATTTAAGGAGGAGAGCAACTGCGCGCACACACACACACACACACACACACACACACACACACACACACACACACACACTTGTTTCTTTCTCTTGATTGCATCACCATTTACAGTCGGTGTGGAAGGACATGGGAATGAATACAACTTTCTTTATTTCCTTTCTCACTCTCGCTTTCTCTCTCTGTCTATCCATCTATCCATCCATCCATCCATTACTCTTTTAATCTATTTAAATCTCTATCTCTCTTTCTCTCCCACTCTATCATTCTATCTCTCTTGTTTGTGGTCAGATCAGCTGCGTGTGTTGCAGTGTAAATGCAAAGCTCAGACTAGCCGATATACAGTCACTTCAGCAATTAATTTCCCAGCACTGCTCTGCCTTTTGATGACATATTAATCTGCATTTTGATTTTATAAGAGTTTGCTCTTATTCTGTTTTCTATCAGAGGAATCATCATTTAACCCAAGGCTAGACTTTAAATCTTTAATGCGAGCAGTGAGTTACAGAAAAATCTAGTTAAAGCAGTGTTTTTATTTATTTGCACTCATTTATAGTAATACAAAGCAATATTTGCATCATATCTTTATTTTTTGGATGAAATATGTACTCACTAAATTTGAATTCATGCATTATTCATAGCTAACATATTTACCGGTCAAATACAAGGTGTGTCAAAATGAGCACAATACACATAATGAAGCATGCAAACTCATCACTGATATTCAATATACAGCGTACACCCCTTGCCGATCTCTTTTGAATTAGTATTTTCTACAGGAGACTTTACAGTAATATATTTATGCATGTACATTAGATTAGCAAAGATAAAGCTGGAACTAATCTATAACAAAAAACCTAAGATCATGGTGCAAAAATTAGTATACCTAAATTAATACACCAACCGGCCACTTTATTAGGTACACTGTCCAACTGCTCGTTAATGTAAATTTCTAATCAGCCAATCACATGGCAGCAGCTCACTGCATTTAGGCATGTAGAAATGGTCAAGACGATCTGCTGCAGTTCAAAATGAGTATCAGAATGGGGAAGAAAGGGGATTTACTGAACGCTGCATGGTTGTTGCTGCCAGACGGGCTGCTCTGAGTATTTCAGAAACTGCTGATCTGCAGGAATTTTGACGCACAACCATCTCTAGGGTTTACAGAGAATGGTCTGAATAAGAGAAAATATCCAGTGAGTGGCTGTGGGCGCAAATGTCTTGTTGATGCCAACTCTGTACTTGTAAGGTGTACCTAATAAAGTGGCCGGTGAGTGTATGTCAAGGAAAAATATTCAATAAAATTTTAATAAACAGAAAAAACCAAGAGACACATAAAAACTGCAAACATTTTTTTTCTGAAATAACCTCTTAGAATTGAAGTGTTTATCTTTCTATTCCTACAGATGTTCGGTGACCAAACTTGTTTTTTAATAAACATAACATTTTAACAAAACTTGTTTAAACACACCAACAAATATTGCCTAAATTCACTGACATTGAAAATATATGCATAAATATATAATCATAAAAAATACATACTTTTTTAAAGCATGCATACTCCTTTTTGAGCTCTGCATATCATGCATGACCAGTTTAAACACACCCAATAGTATCTGCATGCAGCCTTTATGATGTAAGACTGCATCTCTCAGTGATGCAACGTCAGACACAGTGCACTCAATGGAGCTAGTGACGTCACTGTGAGGGTTAGGGTGAGGTGAGCCCATTTAAAAGCATTGGATGCATCTCAACACACCTGCATCATCATATAGTGTCAGAAATGAATGTTTGTTAATAAAAAGCGGTATTATCAGAGGTATTATTCACTGTACACAACCACAGAATATAGTGCATGTTAATAAATTAACTCTATCCCCAAAAACATACTATACAATCAAAGATAATATCTTAGAATAATGCTCCATTAGTTTACTAACATTAACTAAGAGTTTAAGCGTTTATCAATTATAGCTCAACATTAACTAATGCATTAATGAAATCCAGTGCACTGTGAGTTAGCATGAACTAACAGTATTACACTTTAATAACATTAACAAAGTTGAATATATTCCATAGTGAATGAATTATGTGTTATTAATTATAAATGAATTGTTTATATTAGTAAATAAATTAACTAACAGAGCATTATTTTTAAAGCGCTACTCAATCGAATATAAAATGCAATGCACAAATATTCCGGCATGTAAACGTCGAGCTGGAATGAATTGTTCACGGCTGTTGGATTATCTCTCAGCTGTTCTCCGTCACAGTGCTCTGATGAGAAATCAGTGGATATTATGTGTGTATTGAACAGGGCTCAGTGTGAGAGCGTGAATACAGATATCTGACAGCCACAGGTCAGCAGAGACGCTCCACTGGCCTAGATGATCAAATCTATCAGATATTACATAAAGCCTCTGCACTCTGATATCTGGGACAGTTTTGTCACTGATCGCTTTTTTTTCTTCTTCTTCTTTTGCCTGAAGCACCTGTTCATTTCTGACCGCAGCGACTCTCTCGCTCTTTCATTCATCACATTTCTCTCTCTCTATCGCTGCGCTGCTCTTCTCCTTCATTTTCTCGTGTTTTATTATTTTAAAAATTCTATAATTTTTCTTTTTGTTGTATTCTTTATTTTCTTTTTTATAACCTTTCTTTTTTGTTCATTAAATTTCTTCTTATAAGTTCTTCTCTTTTCTTCATTTTTCTTTTTCTTCATTTTTTTTTCTTTTATGTTCTTATAATTTCTTCTCATTTTATTTTATTTTATTGTTTATCTTCTCTGCTTTTCTCATTTTTAAAATAATTTTTTATATTTTCTTATTTATTTACATTTTAAATACAATTTTATTTTATTGTTTTCATCAATTCTCTTCTCTAGTCTGTGCTCTTATATATGATATTATATTATATTAAATTATATTAAATTATATTATATTATATTATATTATATTATATTATATTATATTATATTATATTATATTATATTATATTATATTAAATTATATTATATTATATTATATTATA